TAAAATGGAGAAATTAGGGCCCTCCCTGGTGGCGCAGCGGATTAGAGCACAGTACTAGGAAGCTGGGGCCACTTTCGCAAGAGTTCGATCCCCGCCTGCCCCGGAGGTGACCACATGGCGCGGCAGACCTCTCCTGACCCACCTGCTACTCCCCTCAGCGGTGTGCTTCGTCATTAGGCCTGTTCTGCTCCCCACTCTGTCTCTGGTGAATCCTCTCACCTGCCCTGCCCTGCACCTCTGGTCTTTACCCCAGTTCACTATGCATAAATAAATAAATCTTAAAAAAAAAAATGGAGAAATCAGTCTGGATTACTGCGTGAGTGTGTAAATGCATATGAATCTAATCACATCTGTCCTTAAAACTGAGGCCTTTCCAATTGAGGTCAGAGTTAGAGAATGATGTGAAGAAGGATCAGAGTGATCCAACAATGCTGGATTTCAAGGAGGGAAGAGGTGACAAACCAAGGAAATATGGGTAGCATCTAAAAAGTAAAAGTTGAAGAAAAAAATCCCTAAACCCACAGCTTCCAGAAATAAATATCATCCAATCATCACTTATTTTTTGACTTGTGTTGGAATCCTAAGACTAAAAATTCAAGTGATTGCTAACTCAAAGAGATACATGCTTCCCCATGTTTATTGTGTATTATTTATAATTGCCAAGAACTGAACATAAATGATGAATGGATACACTGTGGGATACTATTTAGCGATAAAACAGATAAAATTTTGCCATTTGCAACAACATAGTATTATTGATTTCACTTTTGTGTGGTATATAGAGAAAGCAAACAAACAAGCTAAATAAAACAAAAATTAACTTTTCGAGTATATGACCAATTAATGGTTACTACTAGTGAAAAGGGGGTTGGATAAATCAAGTAAAAGAATTATCATATGGTGATAGAAAGAATTTGACTTTTAGTGATGAACATAATGTAGTGTATATACTGATGATTTTTTCTATGATGGAGATCTGAAACTTATATAATGCAAGGTTACTTAAATAAAAAGGAAAAAATAAATCCACGTGTTTTATAGAAACACGTTCAATAGAAAGTTCAATAGAAAATTAATATAATGACTTTTAAGATTATTTTCTAGATTTAAGATTCATAATGCTAAATTGTTGACGAGAGGATTGGGTCAGAATCAGGAAAACAAATTAAAGGTGAGGGTTATTAAACATGGAGATGGTTTATCAAAAGGCTTGTGACATCTTTATTTCCAAGGAGCTTATGAGTGTATGTGACCTGTGTGGAACTCAGTCTAAAGTTCCATCACCCATGAGTTCTAGGGGTGTGCTAAAACAATCTCTACTCCCTGGAGTCTACTAAAAGGAGACCAGATGTCAAAAACAGAAATAAAAAAAAAAAGAAGAGAAAAGCAGAATTTCTATAGGATTTGAGGCTAATCACCTTAAAATGGAAACAACTTCCTTCTGAAAGTTCCATGCTTTGGGGTTTTAGATAAAATGTTCCAATTGAAGCACTTCAAAATATTCATTTCCTATTTTCTATGAGATATGAAACTTCTCATGTGTAGATACAGAAACAACATAGCCATTGATATTATGCACAATCTGAACCTGTCACTTGATGTTAAGTGATTGAGCAAGGCTGCATTCAAGATCCATCTAAGAGTCATTTATAATAGAAAGTATTTTGATTATATCTTAAGAAAACTCCCCAGGGGAGTGCAGGGCTTTCACTCTGCAAATCAATTTTCACACAAATGGAACACTCTTCTGTTTTGACTTGCCCAATTCAGGTCCCCACAGAGAAGGAGAGAATTGCTGTAGACTTCACTTAAAACTCCCCACTCCCCTCAGCCCCCCATCCTGCACTCCATGTATCACCTGCATTTGGCTTCAAAGAAGTCATGCTTGCCTTAAGAAGTGCCTAAAAGGTATTACTTTTTGGCTGCATTTGTCTTAGGAAGTAAAATTTACAATCAGCTGGACTACTAATGAGTTCAGGAGTAGCTACTCTGTCATGTGAGGTGAGGGCTTTCTCTGAAAGTGATCAGTAGATTTGCTTCTCTCAAGAGTTAGCTTTCCTTCCTGTGTGGCATAGTTATTGTATATTGATTTAAAGGGCGGTGGGCTGCTTGAAAAGGGGGCTGCTTGAAAAGAGGGTACCTAATGTCATAGCTTCTCTTGCACCATCCCAAATTCCCTCATTTGTGTACCAGCCAATTTACCTTTGCAGAATATAGTTTTGCATCAGCCATGACAATACCTTGGAACTCTTACATCTATGTCTGAGAGTCTCTGTTAGTCAGAGGACACATTTATGACAGCTGTATGGTGACCCACAAATAACCAGTTATGCAGTCTATAGACCTTGCATAGGTCCAGCCCTGTTTCATCCAGAGGAAACTGAAGTCCAGAGACCCAGAGACTCTGTGTTAAGTAACTTGGCTTTCTTCATGTAGTAGGTTTGAAGCACGCTACTGGGTTGGTTTTTGTCCTAGGTATGGAAACTACTAAAACCGAAAATGAGATTTTTGAGATGTTTTAGAGCTGGGTAACATTAGTCTTGGTAGTTTTATGAAATAGTTACCTCTACTCCTATGTTGTGACTGAGTACACTGACCTTTAGGGCACAATGCTCTAAGCTGACTTCCAGCAGGACTGGGGAAAGCATTTCAGAGAGTGATCTAGGACCTTGCTTGAAAACACATTTTCTGGAGACCAAGAGATCTGGGTTTGAATATTGATTGCCACTTACAGGCAATGGGATCTTTGGTAAGTTTCTTAACTGTGAATTTACCTACTAAATCACTAAAATGTCCAGAATTTGTCCTATTCCCAGGGAAGAAGTACTGGCTAATTTTTGATTTTTTAACCAGTTCATCAGATGGAAGCAAAGACAGACAATAACTGTGCCACATGGGAAGGAAAGCTAACTCTTGAGAGAAGCAAATCTATCGATCACTTTCAGAGAAAGCCCTCAACCCTCATGACAGGGCAGAGCTACTCCTAAACTCATCAGTAGTCCAGCTGATTGTACATTTTACTTCCTAAGACAAATGCAGCCAAAAAGTAAGACCTTTTAGTCACTACTTAAGACAAACATGACTTGCGACCTAGAGAAGTCAGAAATCAGCTGAGATCCAGATAAGAGTTGCACATTTCCTTGCAAAGTAGAGTTCATGGGCTGTCATTCTCATTAGCTACACTTGACACCCACAAACCCCATCAGCCTTGTCTGACCATAAACATTCAACTCTTTTGCAGTGAGCTTTGTTTTCCAGGTTGAGGCCTGTGGTGTCAGGAATGCTGGAATGGCCAGGGTAATGAACTTTGGACCAGGTGAGCTCTACAGAAGTTCCTATTTGGGGGTGAGAAGTGAGGGCAAATCCTGGATGCTTCTCCCCGCACATTGCACTCCCTGCCATGGATGCTGCCAGCACCTGAGAAGCAACATCGGGGGAGCCAGAAGCTGTGACATCCCGACAGCTGAGCAGGCAGGCAGAGGCTGTGCAGGAGGCCCAGCCCCAAGGCTCAGAACCAGTCTGGGCTGAGTCTGAAAGTGTGGGCACCATTTCTTAATTGCCTGTGCACTAACAGATTAGGACCTGAAGCCCCAGAAGTGTCCTCAGATTGGCCCATCTAGAGTTGTCCTGGTAGGGGCCAGTTGGATGCTTGTAGTAGGTACAGATTTGAGGCACCAGCAAGGCTTGGTTTCAAGTGTAGGTAGAAGGCCAGGTCCTCACACGCTCCCCTCTGCAGCATACCACCCTGACTTGCACACCACCATGGCATGCTGGAGAGGCACTTCGCTCACCCACTGGCTTTTATTATTATTATTTTTTGAAAGAGCTTTTAATAGTTATAGAGTTGCTATTTATGTGCCATTTAGAACATCAGTTAATCTGTTGGGTGACACCCAGATTTTCATTTATTTATTGTCTTAGTTATACACATGTTGATTTTTCAGAGAATAAAAAGGAAAATCATTTGGAAGTTGATATAAAAGCTCAGAATAGGTCCTCCCTGGTGGCGCAGCGGGTTAAAGCACTGCACTGAGAAGCTAAAGCCACTTCAGCATGAGTTCAATTCCCGCCTGCCCCGGAGGTGACCACATGGCGCGGCAGACCTCTCCTGACCCGCCCGCTGCTCCCCTCAGCAGTGTACTTCGTCGATCTGCCTGTTCTGCTCCTCACTCTGTCTCTGGTGAATCCTCTTGCTGCCCCTGAGCCTCTGACCTGTACCCCAGTTCTGTATGAACAAATAAAAAAAACTTAAAAAAAAAAAAAGCTCAGAATATATTCAATTGAACATATTCAAAGAGAAATATAAACAAGTCCCAAAAGAAATAACCATGATAATACCTAACGTGGCTTTCCCTCACAGGGTTGATTTGAGCTCATGATTCATGAAATGTTCCCTATTTTTATGCTGCATTTGTACAATTGTGTCCCAAGAAGAAACGTTCTGAGCTTTGTCTGTGAGCACACGGGAATGTTCTATAAATGTTTCTTATACAGGACTGGGTACAGGAGTGGCAATGCCTGGATTCATGACATCTCAGAATACCTGAAGTCATTACAACTCAGGATGCCTGGAGTCATTACATCCCAGGATGCCTGGCTGGATTCACAGTATCAAAAAAAAAAAAAAAAAAAGGATGGAGAGGTTCCACAGCAGGAAGTTTAGTGAGTGTAAAAATGTGGGCTGCACTGCAAATGAAAATTCATGTCAGGAAAAATCCCAGCTCTGGCTAACCGGAGATTCGGTACGAGTTCAATCAAAGGCATAGTGCTGGCTGAGTACTCTGCATTTTCAAACTCATAGTGAAGGAGCTGTGGCTAAAGAGGGTAGCACAGTACTTCTTGGATTAGCTTATTCTTTGCAAACAGCCATAACCCAGTCTTTGTTTGTCCCCAAATTTGCCTCCCAATAACGACGGTCACAGTTATCCAGGGAAGCCCTGGACAGACATGGAATGGGCAGTCTGCAGCACACAGCTTCATTTTGTACTTGGAACACCTACTCAGATACTCTTCAGGTTCTCAGAAATGATAAGGTAGTTGGCTGGGTCAACACTCAGGGTCACATGCACTGGAAACTTCCCCATGCCTGAGTTCATCTGGAGGACATCTCTCAGCTGGGCATCTAGTTCTTTGATGTTGGAAACCAGCAATTCCATCTGGTTACTTCTGAGAGACCACAGGGCAGGATGGGCACAATAAACCCTCCCCATTGGGCTCTATCTCAAGTGACTCCATGCAATGGATTCAGCAGATGTAGCTATATTTCAGGAACATGGGGGCTTTCAAGATAATCTAGGCAGCCATGACATGGAAATGCTTCTTTAAAGTGTTTAGCCAAGTACATTCTCTCTTTCTAGTATGTTTTCTTCTGACCTCCAGCTGCTTCCCCTGACAACTCAGTTCTCCACCTGCTGATTTTTTAATTGTTCAAAGTTGCACACACCATAGCACTTCAAATGTAATGCTCCAGATCAGTCAGATTACCAAACATGCCCGCTGCCTGCTTTCCTTTCCTCTTTTTTTGAAAACTTCTGCTGAGTGGATATAATGACACAAGTTTGAGGCAACATAGGGCAATGAAAAATTGATGGAGTTCCAATGAATGTCTTGAACTTTGACCCCTTAATGAAACCTGTGACTTGCTTCCCTGCTACATTTTAATGTACAATCTAAAACCCTTACATGGTCTCCAGCCTCTCCAGAATCTGTTTCCAGGGGCCCACTCTGCTTACTCTGTCCCTTACCCTAAACTCCGGCCACACAGACATTTTACAGTTTTCATGGATAGAAGCTCTTCCTGCCCCAGTTGACAACTGTTCCCTATAACTAAAAGATAACTTCTTCTATTCTCTCTCTCCCAACTTCATTTCCATCATGAGATTTCCTGCTTTTAAAGGCCTTCACTCACCCTCAAAATTGTATTTCCCTTGGCACTTAACAGGATATATCATTTAAAAATTAATCTCATGTTTATTTGTTCAATGCTTATATTTACTAGACTGCAAGTTACATGAGGGCAGGGCAATGTCGCTTTTGACTTCTGTATTTTCAGAACCTAGCAGTATCTGGTACATGGTAGATATTCCTTAAATATTTATTGCATGCAGCAAGGAACTTCTCAGAAATGTGATCATAGACCTTTGATTTGGGGTTTGCAGTTGTGGTAGAGGAAACAAGTTCAAAATCATAACCTCTAGCCTTTTTTAAATGGTACATTACCTGCAGTAATAACTTATTTATTTTAGTGTACACTCCAAATTTTGGATATTTATAAATTATATAAATGTAATGCATAATCTCACATATTTATGTATTATTACAAAGCACACACCAAAAACCCCTTTAAACATACATAGAGACGTTTAGAAGCTAAGGTAAAAATAGTAACTATAGACAAAAATTCTAGATCTTTTTCATGAACTGCACTACTTTGCAGTTAGTAGCCCACCAGGCAGACAGTTTGTGAGAAGGATGCCCTCTCCTGGTGGAGGGCAGCTGAGACATTTGCTTTTGACAGTGCAGATCATAGGATTCTTCCATGGGTCTACAATTCTGTGAGCAATTATATAGCTGGGTACTCTTAGCATTATTTTCACTCACAGAAAGTGCAAGATAAGGTATTGGTTTAAGCCAACACATCTTTAAAAGGTAAAGATACTCCTATTGTGCAGTCATATGGATCAGGAAGCACTGAAACAACTGTGTATGTGTATCAAAGCCAAGTGTTGTCAAGTTAAATAAATTGAGACAAGTAAAAGTGAGTTTATTAAAAAATCATGGCTGAAGACACAGGCCTGAAAACAGCCTCCAATGAGCTTTGGGAAAACTGCCTGAATTCTGAAGTTATATAGACTGGAGGGAAGCATTTATTAGGATTTTTTTTCAGAGAAAGGCCAGGCAGGTGTCTGATTAATGTATCTTTTTGATGCTGTCTATGTACTGAGAAAGACAAAGTGGGCTATTAAAACTTACCCTAGCTATTTAGAGACTTATGTTCTGGGAATGGGAATTTTAGCAATGCCATAAATCTTGAAGTCCTCCTTTTACTGATTTTCCCTGAGGCAACTTTGTTGTTGAATTGGCTTCTTTACAAGACCAGTCCAGCTGTCTCTTGACTTGTGGCCACAGAGAGAGCTACCCACTAATTGGAAGCTTTAATTAACAGTGTCTATAATGTTGACTGCAAACATGGGCGGCTCTTATAGCAGGTCTGGGCGTGAGGTGGGGACCAGGTTGTTATACACCCCTGACTGCTTTGCTCTTCTCAGAACTTTTGGTGGATCACCTCTTCTCTCACAGCAGTGTCCTGTCCCCCTTTTCTCGAGTCCTCCAGAGCACAAGAACATCCACCAAGACCTGTCTAAAGTTTTGAACCAGGCACTTAAGCACCAAGTATGGCTGGATCACCTGAGCATGTGATTGGTCATGGCTGGGCCCGTGTGAACCCCATGTCATCTGGAAATAGGCAAAATGATGGCATTTCCTTCACAAGGTTGTGGCCAGGGCAGAAAGAAGTAAATGTTTACACAGCACAGCGTGCAGCCCAGTGTACTTGGTGACTTCTTCATTGTGTAGAAAGATCCAACAGCTGGGAGGCTCCCCCATGTGCAGTGTGTCACACAGGCACCCTCCAGGGCAGTGTTGGCAAGGCCTCTGGTTTCTGAGCAACCTCAGAACAGCGACGGTCATAGAAATGGGAAGGAGGGAATACCTCTGGGTACACACTGTGGAGGAAAAGTAGCCCTAGGTTCCAGTCTGACTGCCCTTACTGGTAACATGACTTTTGCTAATGAAACAGCCTCTGCAGAGCTCAGTTTCCTTTGTGATACCTGCTTTGTAATGGTAGCGAGGGAGCAGTGTTTGACAAGTGGCAAGTACTACAGAAAAGACAAACAAACAACAACAAAAAACTTTAAGGAAAGAAATGATGGAGTGAAAAAGTCCTGGGATGAGCAAGAGGTCAAGAGGATGTCTTTCTGCATCACCCACAACAGGGAAAAGTAACCTCTGCTTTCTGGAGGCAACTTGTGTCCTTAGTCTGGTGTGCCAGCCTTTTCTCTCCCTTTGGAGGATCAGCTGTTCAGGGTTAGCTGTCCTGTTCCAGAAGGCAGAAGGCTGTGTTGGGGACAGCTTTGCTTCCTGTTGGGAGAGCTGGCTTAGCACTTTTCACATGAAGCACTAAATCATAATCTTCAAATGTCAGTGGGGGAATTGATTTAAAGATGATGTAGTCCAAACACTTACTGAATGAATACTCAAGAGTTAGAAAAAATATGAGTACTTAGGAAGACAGATGGCACAGAGGGTTACAGTCCTGGTTTGATGGCTTAAACTTTCAAGGCCTTATTTTCTTAATCCAAATAAGTGGATTTTTTTTATTTGTGTACATTTTTTATTTTAAGGCCAATATTACAAGATTTTAAGATTGTCTCCATGGTGCATTACAAAAGTCATAACAGAGAAACAGTATGAGCTATAGAGGTTGGAAAAATCAATTTAATTGTTACTACTTTTAAGGCACACCTCTTTTTATCAAACAAAAAAAATAAACTCTAATCAATAGTACAAACTACGGGTTCAACAAATATTATTAGAGGTTATGTGTTGCAAACCCACCGAGGGGTGCGCTGACGGTTACATTCGCTCGTTGCCCGAATGTAGGAGATTTGGAGAAGCGAAAAACTGAAGCAGGAGCCTGGGGTCTGAAGTCCGAAGTCTATTTATTGGGACTGCCCATGTATATATGTAGGGTCTGTAGGTGCAGGGAAAAACAGGAAATGTGCCCAGGAAATGTGCCCGGCACAAAGGGTGGGGTGCATGTTTGTACCAGACCTGGGGCTTCTTGTAGCTTCTACTTGAAGCCTACAAAGTAGTATGCTGCAGCTATTTGCAGGACAGAGTGCACTGTGCTTTGCTGACTTGTTTGTTGGCCTTACTGGGGAGTGTGCTCACCCATGCACAACATTAGCCAGGGAGGACAGGTGCACTTGAGGTCCTGCAGAGTTAGCCACAGTTATGTAGAACTGGAGTCATGAACTCTCATCTAATCCAGGTCACTAGCTCCAAATCCAGCTTATTCCAAACCAACAGAAATCCAGCAAGTGGAAGTGTGTTTTCTTTCTGGAGTCATACGATGTTAATTTTTAAAAATAATATAATAGTTTATTTTTACATCATTCTGTGCCTTTTTCCATCTCAGTTGTGATCCCATCACCAAATCACCCATGTGCCATCACCATAGTCCAGTTCATTTCCCTCCCCGCAATTGTTTTTGATCCCATTCTCCACTCCACCCCCATAAAATGTCTCTGGTATATATAGCTGTTCATTATTCTTATTATTTTCTTGCCTGGCCCATTATACTCCTGATATTAGTGAAACCATCCATATTTTTCCTTATCTTTTTGGCTTATTTCACTAAGCATGATCTTTTCCAGCTTCATCCATGTTGCTACAAAAGGCATGTGTTTATTTTTTTGGTCAAGATCAGAGGTAGTATGTGTTAGTGCTGGCTGAGATTTGACATGAGACACGCTGCCCCTAGACAGTGCTCTTAGTCACTCCATTTAGATGCTGCTTTTGGTCCCTTTTATATTCTTTTGTCCTGGGGAATAAATCAACTCAGATGGAATGAAAGATCTACCAACCCTATTTCCATCTTAAAAGTGCAGTGACTCATGCTATATTAACATTCCTGTTTATGTTTTCAGTTAGTTAGAACTGTGGCAAAGTTCAGTTGCCTGAAATTTTTTAAAAATATAAATGATAATAGTAGTCAAAATATACATGGGGTAACAAGGCAACTACAAAACCACAGGACTTGCAAACTTCTTCTGACTGTGCTCCTGCTCAACTGAAGGAAATTGTAGTTACAGCTGCCGGTCAAACTGAGGGGCCTTGATATTGATCAACCTGCCTGCTTGGCCATCCCATAGAGACTTTTCCTTCCTGTAGGCCAGTTATTTATGAGATTTGCTCAGTTCTTTTGGGCAACACACTTCAAAAACACTTTGGCTATATGTAATATATTTCACTAATTATTCTGAGGAAGTGAAGATACTCAATGGTGTTCTGCTTTGAATAATGTTAAGTGTCATTTTATTATGTGATGATGAGAAAAAAATAGATTCCTTGGGGAACAACTGTCTGTGGAGTTTGCATGTTCTCCCATGTCTGTGTGGGTGTCCCCCAGGGTCTCTGATGTCTTTCAAAGATGTGCACAAGAGTATCACAGG